TAGGATCACAGAAGCATAGAATTGTTTAAGTTGGAAAAGCACTCCAAGATCATCAAGTCCAACAATAACCCAGCACTGCCAAGGCCACCACTAACCCATGTTCCCAAGCACCACATTCACACAGCTTTTGATCACTTTTAGGGATGATGATTCCACCACTGCCCTTGGCAGCTTGTTCCACTGTTACCAGATCAATTGCTAAATGTGATGTGAACCTCTGAAGGGAAAGCAACCTCAGTGACAGCCAGGTGCTGGCTTGGCATTGTTCTAGAATTTCTTCTCTTCATTTGCTGTTGGCTTCAGACCCTGTGTGCCTCCCAAAAATTACTGGGTGCCTCACTAGTCACCCAGGTTGAGCTCTCAATAGGAATAGCAGGAAAATTCTTTGGCAGTTGTGGGCTCAGATGGCCTGACTTCCACCTGAAGTGTCCACAGCTACACCCAAGGAAATTATGCATCTTACAAAGCCCCAGTGCTCATGGAATGAGCAGACAGAAATACCTGGTTTTCCAGTAGGAGCTGCTCTCTTCCTATTTCATAAGGATATAAATTCCCAATATATAACCACTGCAAGTTCCCTCAGCCTAGAGGACACATGGGAGGAGGAAAAGGGGAACTCCAGCTCAGTGTTCCCTACACCAAAGTCTGCCTGGCTAGCCACAAGGAATAGCCAAAAATAACAGCCACCAAGGCTGCCTTAAACTGAAACCAGGAACTGGACTCAGCTTCTAGCCAGAATGAGAATACAGATCAGAAAACAAAGAGGAATAATAAAACCACCCCCCTCTCTCTTCTTTTTCCTTATTTGCTCCTGCACTGAGCACAGCTTCGCAGAACCTCAAAACCTCCCTGCTAACAACCCCATGAAACACCTGGGCAAGGGCTGGAGCCCCTCTGCTCTGGAGCCAGCCTGGCACAGCTGGGGCTGCTCACCTGCACAAGAGAAGGCTCCAGGGAGAGCTCAGAGCCCCTGCCAGGGCCTGAAGGGGCTCCAGGAGAGCTGCAGAGGGACTGGGGACAAGGCAGGCAGGGACAGGGCAAGGGGGAATGATTTTAAACTGAAACCAGGGAGATTTAGATTAGATAAAAGGAAGAAAGTCTTGGCTGTGAGACTGTGGTACAGGTTGCCAGAGAAGCTGTGGCTGCCTCTGGATCCCTGGAAGTGTCCAAGGCCAGGTTGGATGGGCTTGGAGCAACCTGGGATAGTGGAAGGTGTCCCTGCCCATGGCAGGCTTTTAGGTTCCTCCCCACCTAAACCAATCCCTGATTGCCTGATTCAAGGTTTGCAGATGTCTATTCCTTGCACAACCACAATTCTTGAGGTTTTTTTTGTTTTGGGTTTTTTTTGTTTTGTTTTTGGTTTTTGTTTTGGGGTGGGGGTTTTTTGTTTGGTTTTGGGTTTGTTTTTTTTTTGGGGGGGGGGTGGTTTGTTTTAGACCATTTAATACCTTCTGCAATCCTCTTCCTTTAGGCTAAAAACAAATTGAGTGATGCTCAGGCTTTGTTAACACGGTTTCACACAGCAGCCCCTGCTGCCGGTGCAGCCCTGGCCAGGCTGGGGTGGAGGTCACCCCAAAAGCTCTCTCTGCCGTGGGGAAGAGCTGCAGAGCTGCCGGCAGAGAGAGCCAGAGCACCGGGGAACAGGAGCGGTGTGCAGGCTGCGCTCAGCAAAGCGCTGCCAGGAGCAGGGAGAAACTGCCTTTCTGCTCAAGGACCTTCTTCTCAGCGCATTTACAGCCGCAGGTATTTTTGTCAGTGCTCCTCTCAGCAGATCAGCCTTTCCTGCAGCCAAGCATCCCTCCCTGCTGCTGCCACAGGCTGCAGTGCTGACAGCCAACATCCCCGAGCCATCCACAAACAGGATCCCGCCGGAAGATGGTGCCCATATTCCACAAAACAGGGGGCAAGCCCTTCATAGCACAGTCCACTTTGGGGCAACACCTGGAAGAAACCCAGCCACCCGATATGAAAATCATCAGAGCAAATCCCACAGCTGATGCCAGGCTCCCTCCCAGGCAGCAGGGATGTAATTTTGAGGGTGTGACCTGCAGTGTAGCTCAGCAGGCTGCAGTGCAGTTTATTTGTGTATTTTCTCTTTAAGGTTTATATGGTAATAGGCTTTTTAATGAGCAAAGCCCTGAAACTGTAATTGGAAGATTAATAAACCCCTACTCCTGCTGAATATTCACTTGCTAACTAAGGAGCACACAGCCCTGAGCCAATGCTCTTGTCCTTGTCAAAAGCCACATGTGGATGCTGATTTCCGTGCAGTGCTTTGATGTTACCCCAGGTTGCTCTTGGTGGTCTGTCGAAGGCAGATGTGGAATGAGGAGCATCATAGATTCCTGGTGATACACAAAACCACCAACTCACAACATTAAAAAGGACACACTCTTCAGCCTCTCCTCTTGTATTTTCTTATCCTCTACTCTTTGCTGCTGTCCTGGCAATTTGCATTGCTTGCCTCCAGCTCACTGCTGGACAAACTTCAGCAGGCTCCCTTCTCAAAACCTGCCACAATAGCTACACTCAGCCAAGCATGTCCAGCACACAGGTGCTACTCAGTTTTTTGGCAGATGTCATATCTCATGTCCAACCAGCAGCTTGTCACAGGCTTCATCAGGAGCTGGAGCAAAGATGGGATGCTGCAAGGCACCCATGCCTCATCTCTCTTTTCCTCTGCAGCTCTGTGTCTGTGCCACAGCCCCAAGACAGCAGAAGGGCACTGAGAGGAGACACCACTGCAGCACACACCTCTCCCAGCAGATCTCTTCTCCATAAACATCCCACCTTTGATAAAAGAGATCACCACTGGGTTCTGGAGGTTGTCAGAGCCCAACACAAAAGGTTTTTCTAACACCCTGTTTCTGTGATTTACAGTTACCCTTTACCATCACCCAAAAGAGGATGGAGCTTGGCGAGATTGTTGTGACTGAACATCCCAGTGAGAGGGAGATGTACAAGAAGGAAATGCCAAGAGCCCAGGACCTGCTGTGGAGAAGTGGAAACTGGATCCACCATGGTTTTGGATATCTCACGGGAGAAATGGAAGAATATGGAGAGTGGATGAAAAGTAAGCAGAAGGATGTGTTTGGGGATGTCCATATTGCCAACAGAACTTCCAATGAAGTGTGCTTCACCCCCTGAGGCAGAGCAGAAGCAGCATGGCTCAAGCTCATTGCAAACTCTGGCCTTTTAATTATCTCACTCTCAGGAAGGCAGTCTCACTGCATCCTCTGTCCATCACTATGGCAGCAGGCAAATTCAGCACAGTCCTAAGAAGTCTTTCACACTTAATCAGTTACAAGTCATTAGCATCAAGTCTCACACAGCAGTGGCCACAGTCACATGGCAGGGCTGGGGCTTGTGTCTCATTTGTAACTGCCTTGGATCAGCCACTGTCTCTCATCCACCTGTGGGCTGATGACAGGGAATTGCCTCCTGATAGAGGCAGAGGCCCTTGAGTTCCCAGCCTTGGGGGAGCAATATGCACTGAGAGGGTGTTACAATGCCGTAAGATAGAAGCCAAGACTGATCTCAAAGGTTCACTGTCCAGACAGGAGCAATGCATGAGCAGACAGTCCAACCTGCCTGTAATTACTGGGGGGGAGGCTTTGAGAGGCTGTGCAAGACTGTGGGTCCTCTGTCAAGGCTAGGGTTGTTAGCAGTGCACCTCCATCAATGGGAGAGAAATAGGAGACATCCATTTACAGACAGGCCAGTGTGATCTTCAGACACAGGGGAATATCTCCTCCTGTTTCCTTTTTTCTTCAGTGGTCTCTGCTTTGTAGACAGCTTTTCTTACTCAGTGTTCTGGAAAGCTTTGGCCACTGTCCTCTGGTTATATGTGAATTTTTACAGCTAATACTTGTGTCTGAAACTAAGTGTACCGCTCATACCTGTTGCATAGCTCAGCACCAAATATTAGTTAAAATAAATTCCGACAAGCGTGGTCATTTTCCTCTAAGGAAGCCCTTCCTCCTCCTCCTTCTCCTCCTTGTTTCTCCTCCTTAACCCTGCCTGGAAGGAGTTCTTAGGAATAAGTCATTGCACATATTCAGAAAATACCCTTACACTGCATGAACAATCAAATTAAGACATTGATTTCAAATCCTGAAGAAGAGAAAAGCTGCATATGCACACTGCATGAACATCTGAACATCTTGTACCTGCAAGCAGCTCCCCTTTCCCATCCATTCTCCCTTGCATCATCCTTTAATAACACACAGCAGTTCAGAAATGGTTGCAGTTTTCCCAGAAGAGAGGCAGAAGAAAAACTCAAGTCAATTTGCAGTAGGAGAACCAGCAGCAAAAAGTTATTGCAGTGCCCTCATCCCACCTTCCCCCTGCACTCACCTGAGGGATCTGTGCTGGTGTCTGTTTACTCTGCCTAGGTTCAATAACCTTCTCTAAAGAGCAATAACTCTTTGTCCTCTGGAAATGCCTCTTTGCCCTGAGTACAGTCCAAGCTACAATTACTGCTTTCCAATTTAGGTTCTTTAGCTCTTAAAATACCTTTCAGAAACCTTTAACCCCATCTCCTATATACACCATACCTCCATGTTCAGGGTTGCTGATTTTCTTCCTAAAACATCAAAATTGCTTCCTTTTCATATTTCCCTATATAAGTACAAAGTATTTTCAGAGTTCCCCTCTGCATTTGAATTATACACCAAAAAAGTCTGTCTCCTTATTGAATTTATAGCAGAGTCTAAAGTGATCTACCATGCAAGTAATCCTTTGACTATTCTCTGACCATTATAAATAAATTATTTGTTTGTCTGTCCCTCCATGAATTTTACAGCAGTGCCCAGTCCATCCTTATTAATTCTCAAGTGCCTGATGCAAAATATGCAGAGACAACAATCAATCAGAGACTTGTTTTACAGAACTGCTAATATTCCACCTCTGCTCTGTGCCCAGAAAGGGGCTGCAGAGATTGTGCCTTGTTAAAAAAAAAAAAAAAAACAAAAAACATTTTCAACAGTGTTTTGCCTTGATCTCCCCCAGACAAACCCTTAATCATTCAGCTGGTGGACTGGATCTTGCGAGGGACCTCCCAGGTGATGTTTGTCAACAACCCTCTCAGCGGGCTGATAATTTTGGTGGGGCTTTTCATCCAGAGCCCCTGGTGGATGCTCACAGGCTGCACTGGAACCACTGTGTCCACGTTAACCGCGCTGGCCCTCAGCCAGGACAGGTAGGTGGCACCTTGTGCCCTGGATTAAAACTGATGCTTCTGATAGAATTCAGAGCCTACTTGGAAAGCCTGCCCCTTGTTAGAGACAGAAGATTCAGGTGAAGACAGAGCTGTGGCCCAAGAAGAGCTGGCCTGTCCCTGTGGCTGTGTGTCCTCCTGAAAACAGGCAGTTCTTTCTCCCTGATGGCCACCCTCACAACCACGCAGGCCCTTTGAGTCACAACCATCCCCCCTCCATCATCCAGCAGTCCCCAAACTTTCCCTTTCCACACTGCAAGGCAGTACATGAGTAATCTCACTGCTTTTTCATGCCTTCCACCAAGGGCAGGTCATTTACAAATTGTATATTTGTTTGTCCCAGTGGCGGGGCCTGTCTCACTCCTAAGGCAGGCTTGGCCTCTCTGGAACTGCTCTGGGCCACCCTGGGCAGGCTCCTTAGCCACACCAGAGGGGAAAGAAGGATTCAAATCTTAGTAATAATTTTTGCTTCCCTTTAGTTATTGGAGCTTTTAGTTGAAAACAGAGCCCTGCAACTTTTCAAGTCTTATGTTAAAGCCCACCCGCCCCTGCCCAGCTCAGGACACATAATAGGGGCCCGGGACAGTGTTACCTTATAAAAAAACACAGAAAAACCAAAAAACCAACCAAACAAAAAAATTTAAAAAATTAAAAAAATTTTAAAAATAAATAAAAAAAAAAGCCTTTCCCAAATTTTTTTATCTTTACATATACATTTCACAAAAACACATCAACTTTCTCATTAGCCTAGCAATGTATCAATTTTTTAAAAAATCCAGCTCTAATTAATCCTTGTCAAACACAAAAGAAACTACCCAAATCTCACCAAATGAAACATTTCAAAAAACGTTTTCAAGCCACCACGGCCACCTTCAGCAAAGCTTTTTGCCTGTCACTTGTTTTGGTCACAGGTCATCCATCGCAGCTGGGCTGCACGGCTACAACGGGATGCTGGTGGGCCTGCTCATGGCTGTCTACTCGGACAAAGGGGACTACTACTGGTGGCTTCTCCCCCCTGTGGCAGTGATATCTGCAGCCTGGTAAGTGCCCTGCCCCTCCTAGGGACAATTCTCAAAGGATGGGTCTGGCTACAAACAGCTCAGACACACTGAGGGCCCCCCTGCCCTACACCAGTGACTGTCGTGGGTTGTCTTCTTTTCCAGGGTTGGGATTAAATGAGTGAGATGGGATTTCTTGTTTGGACTCAGATGTTTGTTAGTTCTTATCTATATTACAGTATCACAAACCATGAGTTTTACAGCACGTCAGGCTAACAAACTAAAAAAATTCGGGGTTTGGGGGGTTTTTTTAGCTCTATCTCTCTCTCTCTCTCTCCACAAGGCCTTTTAAGGGTGAACTGCTCAATTACAAAATACCACCTAAATTATTTTTACTTTTAATCCAATAACCAACCATCTGGACTTTTTTACCCAAACACACAATATCACCTAGACCATGAAGAAGAAGGTGAAGAAGAAAGACTACCCTTCACCCTAAAACCTCCATCTTGCTTTATATATATTTCTATATTCTAAAACCTTAAAGTCAAAGTTTTCCACCATGTGTCATTACACACTTCTATTCAAACTCCACCCCCATGATCCCAGTTCTAGCACTCGATTTTGGAAGCCTTCTCCAGGGCCTCAGGTCAAATGCAGTGTTCTCCTGGGCGTCAGTGCCTGTCACACTGAAAGTCAAAAATTCTCAGTGGCCAGGGCTCCTTCCAACAAGATTGATGGCACTGGAGGGTTGTGCTCGCCAGCACACAGAGCTTGTGGGGCTCATGGAGGGCACAGAAAAACTGATTATAGCCCACAGGTAAAGCAGCCCCACCCAAATCCTCTGGAAATGGCCCTCAGCAGCAAAACATGCACCGGTTGCAGCTCATTGCACCCAAAACCAAAACCAAAATGCTCCTTCCTCATCCAGAACCAGCCCTGTGCTCATCCCGGGGCTGAATCCAATATTCCCCTTCTCAGATGTGCAACCACTCATGAGCAAAATTAATTCCTCCAAGTAGCTCCAAAGGACAGGCTGTGTCCTTCCAGGATTAAATTCTGCCGTTTTTACATATGGATCTGAACAGCACTGCAGAATCTGTTTAACAGCCTTAACTGAAATTAATTTAATAGTCACATTTTAATCACTGTAAGCAGTAAGATGCAAGCCATTATTGGATTTTCACTGCTTTTAAGATCAGATTTGTTTTATATTTCATTTCTTTAGTCATTCTCAGCAAAGGTCATTTTATAACAATCTCTCAAAACCCAAGATATGTTGCAAGAATGTTTAGTTTGTCTTATCTGCCAGAATTCCTTGAGGCCTTTTGTTCAAAATTTTCTTTATTGTTTAGTTCACAAGTCTTGAGGGTAGAGCTGAAATATTTTAAAATCAGACACTTCAGTGATTTTTTTAACCGATACTTTGACTTTCAGCTATAGAAGTCAGCATTTATTTAACTGTTTCCTTTTTTCCTGATAAGATGTGCAAGTGACAGAAGCTTTGTATTTCAGCACAGAAATTAGGACACCATTTTCACTGAAGTACTGATTTTTATTTTTTTTCTACAGCTGCAAGCAAGGAAATCAGTAAACTCCTTTGGGAACCAAACTTGTCAAAAAAAGAATAGGCTTCACGTGAGATTACACAGGGAGAACAAAGCATTTTTCCCACTGATAGTGTCTATACAGCAGGGCACAAGATGTTGCTTTTGAAATGTCACATAATTTGGATGGGATCGTTTTTTATTATAACCAGCTTAATGACCTTCTAGGGCTCAAATGCAGTTCCTCGAAAAATTAAAATGTTTAAATTTATTTTTTGTAAGCTGCAATGTTCGTTGCTACTTGGAGTAGACCATAAGAGCTATTCAGCTCACCTGCAGCAGAAGAGCTCAGCTGGAAGGAGAACACAGGTCATTTGCACCAAGGTCTGGCCATTCTTATCCTGGATTTCTCATCCTTGAGCTTTCTAGGACCCATAAAAATCAGATATTGCCCAATATGCTCCCATAATGTCCTTCGTGTAAGACACACACTTCAGGTAGAAATCAGGCAGTCTGGAAATGTCCTGATAAAAGCAGATCAAGCAAAGATTATATCCCAGGTTCTACAGACAAGAACTTTGGATAAGGCCATGATGTTTCAAAGTTTATATGCTTTTTGTGTTCTGACTCTAGGCTGTCTAAACTCAAATACTTTACATGCTAAAAATATTCAATCAAGCTATTTAAAAACAAGTCTCAGTTTTCAGTAAACACTGTATGATTTTGGATGTTACCTGGGCAGCACAAAATTACATCAGTCAAGGTCTGAGTGAAGTCTGGTACCAACACCTTTCCCATCTGTGCCACACTGGTGGCTTCATCTTACAGTCTGCTGGGCCTCATAGTCCCCAAAAATAGTGTCTAACATAGTAAATATTTCCATTTTTCTTAATGAAAGGTTTTCCACCGTCTTTGGTCATGTCTTCTGCTTTATTTCTCTTCCAGAGCCATCTCCTGATACCCTTCAAACTGTTTAAACAAGAACAAAACAAAACAAAGGCCCAAAAAAGCAAGCTGCATAATTTCCAACTCTTTTCTGTCACCTCCAGACAGCAGCTTTTTTAGGCCATCTAAAGTTCTCCACAGTCCTTCACATGGCATCCCCAAAATTTCCTTTTCTGATTCTTGTTCAAATTTTAAACTGAATAATAAGCCAGATTGCCTGTCTCTGTTCATGCCCAAATGCTGTATTGGAATCCATACGTGGATGTGAGATTATTTTTTTCAGAAAGATGAACAGCTTTCTACAACTCTTTATTTGATGCAGATTAAGATATTAAGGTATTCCCCACCTGACATTGCTACAAGGAATTGTACTGGCCTTTATTTGCCAAAATTACCACTTTGTGACCAAAGAGGCAGGCTGTCTCATCACTATGAATTTATTATTTATCACTATAAAGTTATTAATTGTATTTCTTCTCCTGTTCTCAGCCCAGTCCTGTCCAGTGCTTTGGGATCCATCTTCAGCAAATGGGACCTTCCTGTTTTCACTCTGCCCTTCAACATTGCAGTGACCCTGTACCTGGCAGCAACAGGACACTACAACCCCTTCTTCCCCACAACTCTCATCAAGCCCATAGCTGCAGTGCCCAATATCACCTGGTCTGACATCAATGTGCCACTGGTAAGCTTCACACCAACAGGTTTATAGTATTTCACTAAGAAGGTGTGCACGAAGGCATTCACCTCTGGGTAACACTTTCAGCTGGGTCAGAATGGCTCAGGAGCAATTCACAGAGGTACATGGCTTGGTTCAGTGCAAACAGAGCAATGCCACAGAATCCTCAGGGATGGCCCTGGTTGATCCAGCAGAAAGGCTGGTAGAGCCTGAGGGAGGAGAGAACATGAGCCTCTCATTCCACTCAAACTCAGGTTGTCCCAAAACTAGTCTTAAGAGTACATCATGGATATCTGGATATGGCCTCTTGCTGTCCAGATATGGTTAAAAAACATCAGCAACACAGTCAGTGTCAATAGGAAAGCTCAGAGGGAGCATCAGTATTTCAAAGTGACAGAAACTCATTTGTACCCAGTCCCCTCATGTGTAGCTCTGGAGGGTCGCCTTCCCGAAGGAGAACAGGGTAATGGATCCAGAGGGTTGTGGTCAATGGCTCAGGGTCCCAGGGGACATCAGGGACACGTGCTGTCCCTCAGGGGTCCATATGGACACCAGTGTTATTGAAAATATTCATTGATGACACAGGCAGAGGGATCAGGGGCACCCTCAGTGAATTTGCAGGTGGCACCAAGCTGAGAGGTGCAGCTGGCACACCTGGAGGCTGGGATGGCATCCAGAGGGACCTGGCCAGGCTGGAGAAGTGGCCCATGGGAATCTCATGGGGTTTAACAAGGCCAAGTGCTGGAGCTGCACCTGAGTCAGGGCAGCCCCTGGGGTCGATCCAGGCTGGGGATGAGCAGAGGGAGCAGCCCTGGGAGAAGGAGCTGGGGGTGCTGTGGGTGAGAGCTGGACCTGCCCCAGCCTGAACCCCCCTGCCCTGGGCTGATCCCCCAGCGTGGGCAGCAGGGCAGGGGGGATTGTGCCCCTGTGCCCCTGTGCTCAGGTGAGAGCCCACCTGCAGAGCTGCCTCCAGCCCTGGGCTCCAACAGCACAAGGACGTGCAGCTGCTGGAGTGAATCCACAGGAGGCACCAAGGTGATCAGAGGGATGGAGCAGCTCTGCTGTGGGGAAAGGCTGAGAGAATGGGGATTGTTCAGCCTAGAAAGGGAGAAGGCTTTGGGGTGACCTAAAACAGGCCTTCCAGTACCAGGAGAGATTGTGTAGGAAAGGTGGAGGGACACTACTTACAAGAGGCTGGAGAGACATTTGAAGGCATTCCCCCAAAGAAAAACTGCTTCATTTTGAAAGGGAGTAGGTTTAGATTAGGTATTAGGAAATAACTCTTCCCTGGGAGGGTGGGCAGGCCCTGGCACAGGGTGCCCAGAGCAGCTGTGGCTGCCCCTGGATCCCTGGCAGCGTCCAAGGCCAGGTTGGACAAGACTTGTAACAGCCTGGGACAGTGGAAGGTGTTCCTGCCCATGGCAGGGGGTGGAACGAGGTGATCTCTAAGGTCCCTTCCAATTCAAACCATTCCAGGATTCTGTGAGTACTCAGAGTCCAACTCAGAGTCAGGGTTTCTTCCTTCCCTTTTCAGCCACTAGCTTGGACAAAATATCTGCTGTGTCCCTCAGGGCACAGACAATAAATAAATAACAAGCCTTTTTATGCAATCTGCTGCAGCTCTTGCAATCCATCCCAGTTGGTATTGGCCAAGTCTATGGTTGTGGAAACCCCTGGACTGGAGGCATTTTCCTTGTGGCTCTGCTCATCTCCTCCCCACTGATTTTTTTACATGCTGCAATTGGATCCACCGTGGGGATGTTTGCAGGTAAGAAATACTGACCAATCATTTTTGCTACCAAGATATCTTGATACAGGCTGGATTCTTTAAAGTTCAGACTTTAAAGTTGCATCAGCTTGGCAGTAGTTGGGGCAGCACTCTCATTTTCCAAAATGTCTCCAAATTTGAAAGCTCCTAGTAAATGTCACACAACAGGGTGCGGGCAAGAACAGAAGCAGGTTTTCTCTAAACTTTGTAATTTTTGTTAGATTTGTAACTCAGCCAGGTAGTTTGTTCCACCTTACTTAACCTTCTAGCCACTGGATATGACAAATCCCATGGAGAGCATGAGGAAACCTAGAGAAAGGCTTTCAGAACTAAATTATTGCTACCACAATTGCTTTAAATGATGACCGTAAGCAAAGGTCTGCCTCAGAACTAATCAGTCCAGGAAGAGAAACAGACTTTTCTGGGATGCAGTTGGCTCAATCCTACTGTGGATTTGTCAAAATACCAAAAAGAATGCCACTAAAAATGTTCTGTCTCTCCACTAACCAGAGAGAAACAATATTGAAAGAAGCAGACCCTTGAAGTTAGACAACATTAATGGCACTTAAGTGACCAATTTTAGCAAATATTGATGATGAATAAATGTAGTCTGATTCTTGGGAAAAGGCAGTGATCCAACAAGTTCTCTGTGCTCTGAAGCACTTTGTGCAAGATGTATCTGTCTTATATTCATGATTTTAAATAAAACTGCCCACAATTTGTATGGCTAAGAGCATATGGCAGGTCTTGTACAGGTGTGACATTCAATCTGGAAAGGAAAGGTCAGTGGAAAGTTCCTGGGGACAAGCATGGTGATAAAACAGAGGACAGATGAGGACAATATAGCAGGAAATACATAAATATTACAAGCGTCAGGAAAGTGGCCTGTGCACTACATATTGACCTTTCTTTTTCACTGGTACTCCTGAAGCTTGTGAGAAATCCTGCAGAAGTTTCTGAGAAGTCAGATTTGGGGCAGACCCCCAGCTCCCATCCCCATGGAGAATTTCCACTGCACAGGTGAAATGACCACCTATATCTCACAAATGTCACTAGGAAAAAATGGAAAACTCTGCTTGCTCCCACAAGACATGCAGTTGTGCCTCTAATATTCAAAACTGGGGTATGTATGAGGTTTAAACAGTGTGTGTGAGCTTTCTGCAAAAACACCCAGGTGAGAAGGTTCTCCCACACTCTGGCTGGATCCTCCACCACTGTGTGTAGCTACAACACACTCAGTGAATACACTGGGAGTTTTGTCTGGATTAAACCTTTGAGACTGGGCCAAATTCCGCTGCAGGGATATTATCAGAGCTCCAAAATAAAGAGCATCCTTTGACATCCTCCCTTTTCTGTATGTGTGAGAACAGACAAATCTTGATGTTATGAGGAAGAGACGACAGATTCCTCCGGCAGGTTCCTGTCATGCCTGACCTCACAGCCTTGCCCTTTGTCTCGCAGCCCTGAGCATTGCATCCCCATTTGACAGCATCTACCTTGGCTTACACAACTACAACTGTGCCCTGGCCTGCATTGCCATCGGGGGCATGTTCTACGCCCTGACCTGGCAGACACACCTGCTGTCCCTTGCCTGTGGTGAGTATCTTTTATATAAAGGAAGACAAAAATCCTGTGGTGAGTATCTTTTATATAAAGGAAGATAAAAATTTGTTCAGGTGGGCAGCTCATGGGGAGCACAGGTTTAGAGCCAACTCTGTCTGTCCCAAAAGTAGGTACTGTACAAGAGCTGTTTCTCTGGTGGCGTCAGCATTGGGCTTGATTGTGGGAGTGCAGAAAGAATAGCATGAGAGCCTGACAAGGTGGAAACATCTAGAAAAGGTGGAAGTTCTGCTTGTGAAATGAGCACAAATTAATCCATGAGCATGTTTAACAAAGTAGCGACTCAACAAAAACATAGAAGCAGCCTTTTCATAATTGTGTCACTGAGGGAAATGTGTCATAAGAAGGGAGCTGTTGCACCAGGTCAGTTTAAAATCCATCTACCCAAAGACCCTCATGTCCAACAGCAGCCAAAATCAGCCACTATGGCAACAGTTTAAGAAATTTCCCTTAAAGACATTCCTCTGAATATATGCCCAGGCTCCAATTATCTTTATCTCAGTGTCATGAGCACAGTTTCTGGATTTCTCAGCAGCTTTTCCTTCCTTGACATAGCCCCTGGGTGCCCCACCTTGCCTCCTGTTCCTGCCATCCCTGGGGTCCTGGGGCAAGGAGACTTCTTGGTAATTGGTTCTGGTATGAAGCCACAGGGCAGAGAACTTCTGAAGTCCAGCTTCAGAATGCTGGAGAATTCCTGCAATTCCCACTGCATGTGGGTCAGTCGTGACAAATAAAAATAAATTAAAGATAAAAGAAATGCCACCATCACTTCATCTTGACAAAAACATGTTCTTCATTCACCATCCATCTCTACAGAGCAGATAGGACAAAATGTAATCACAGAATCATTATGCTGGAAAACATCTCCAAGATCCTAAAGTCCAACTCTTCCCCCAGCACAGCCCAGGCCACTATTGACCCATGTCCCCAAATGCCACATCCACATGGCTTTTAAATCCCTCCAGGGATGAGGACTGCTCTACTGCCTAGGGCAGCTCTGCCAGGGTGGCACAACACTTTCTGGGAAGAAATCTTTCCCTAATATTCAACCTAAATCTCCCCTGGAGCAACTTGAGGCCATTTTCTCTGGGGACATCTCAGCTAATTGTTGAATTCCAGCAGTGATCCTCACATTAGGTAGCTGGGAGGATATTATGCTATGCTTTTGGACAACGTTGCTGGTTTTTATATTTTCTTTGGAGAACTGAACAATACTTTTCTCATTCTGAGCCCTCTTTGATCTTCTCTTCTCAGCATTATTTTGTGCTTACTCCGGAGCAGCTCTTGCTAATGCCCTCTCTGTGGTAAGTGTGGGGTTTTGTGTTTTATCTAATTTTTAATTTTTTTTTAACTGCATCTTGATTTGTTCACATATAATGTTGAAGGAAATATCTCAAAATTCTCCATGTCAGCTTTGACAACACTGAAATGAGAATGTTGCGGCCAGTTGGCACGTCTTGTACAAGCCCTGTGTCAGCTGAATTGTGCCCCTGAAGACTTTATATCTGATAATAAGATTTCAAGACCTTTGGAGCATGTTATCCACAACAGGGTTGTGTATGTATATGTGAGTTACAGCAACAGCATATGGTTTGAGAATAAATACTTAGCTGAACCTTATCTTTCAGCAATTCCAAATTATCTAAATTTTCATTTTCTTCTTTCAAGGTCTTTATCCAACCATGCCCACAGATATTACTGAAGTTTGAACTGGGTATGAGAACTAAAATGAGGGGGAGACAGTTCTCTTTTGTACAAAGTTATTATATTTGGACAAATCAAGAAAGGAGTGAAGACAGAAATGCCAGGCTCTGTTTCTTCTTTAAGATCTGAGAGATTAAAGCAAAACCATATTTTAATTAAATTGATTTATTAACTTAAAAGAAAAAAAAAGATTAGAACTAGCAGCTTTGTGCACTGAATGTTTTCATCTGGCACCCTCTCAGTACTACGTAGATCCCTGCATATGGGCTGCTTTAAGCACACCTGCTTTTGGGAAGCATCAGGAAAAAGGACATCTACTTTTTACCCCTGTGATCTGGCTTTTGGAAGACCTCAATTCAGGTCCAGAGGTGAGGGAACAGAGAGGGCTGAGGGTTGGATGTGATGCCAGTGTCACAGAGTCACTGGGGAGAGTGAATATGCGTGAATGATACTCTCCATGTTTTACAGAGGAGAGAGGGTAGAATTTGGCTCTTTTATTAGAGAATTCAAGTGTCTGCGTGTGAGCTGGGTGTCTGGGCTTTCACTGCAGTCATCCGAGCCCTGGAGCCTGATTCAGTTGCTTCAATGCTGGTGCCAGGCTCCACTCAGCACCAGAACTGAAGCTGCACCTCTGGCAGGACTGATGTCTGCAGCGTTGTAACAGTGGTGGCGTTTTTGCACCGTTTAATTAGTGGTTTGTCTGGAGTCTCTTCTGCCTTCATTCAGAGGCAGGATTAAAAAATACACGAAGGAAATGAATTTTCTTGTATTCAGGCTTGGTTGTTTATTAAGTCTTATCAAAAGTACAGAAAATTCTGCTTTTTTTAGCTACCAGCTAAAAGTGAGCAAAACGGAGAGAGATCCAGCTAGCTACAAGCTTAAAGCTAAACAGTCCAATAGAGAATTAACATCTCTATTATTTATACTTTTAACCCAATAACCAAACTCCTGTGCCCCGCAGTGCAGCACTAACTGTCCAACTAGAAACTACTGCCTGAAATCATGAACAAGAAGGAAGATAAGCACTGAAAGACACAACACCCAAAATCCTCCATCTTGTCCCAGACCTATTACTATATTGTAAAAAACTCAAATTTAAAACCCTTCGCCATGTGAAAGCACACACTTCTATTAAACTACACACCCGTGATTTTAACTCCATCACTCAAATTTGGAAACCTTCTCCAAGGCCTCAGGTCAAAAGCAGTGTTCTCCAAGGGGGTCAGTGCCAGAAAGCACAGAAAGCTGAAATGTTTCTGGGATCCAGCAATGTCAGATGCTATGTGCAGCCTCACACACTCCAGGTGGGAAACATGCCTCAGCGTGGGCAGCTGGATCTACATCTGGTAGCCACGGTGTCTCCAGGGAAAGCCAGACCCTCCCAGCTTCCCAAATGCAAGAATTTAGCAGTAGGCAGACATAGGTTGAGGTGTTAGGGCATGGGTTGGATTCGATGATCTTGAAGTTCTCTTCCAATCTGTGAATTCTGTGAGTTCTCTGAGTTCTGTCAACTCTGTGAATAAGCAAAGAGACCAGAAAGTGGTACCAAAGTGCATCCCTGTGTGTGTTCTGTCCCCCCCCAGCTCGGGCTGCCAGTGTGCACCTGGCCCTTCTGCCTCTCAGCGCTGTTCTTCCTGCTGATCACGTCCGAAAACCCGGCCCTCTACAGAATGCCCCTCTGCAAAGTCACCCACCCAGAAGCCAACAGGATCTACTACCTGAGAATGAAGAGAAGGGCATCAGAGAGCAAGAGGGAAGAGCAGAAGAGGAAGGAGCAGAAACCCTCTGACAGCCCAAATTTAAGCTCTGGGGGTACCCCACTGTGCACCCCCAAGAGCCGCCACGCTCATTGATGCCGGGCACACACAGCTGTGCACCTTGGGGGTAGTTTGGGG